TCAGTCAAAAGATTCGAAAATCCGAAAAGTGTAAGCAGTGCTAGCAGAAGAACAAATGATTTTATTGCTTCCATCTGTTTTATGACATCAGGGACTGCTAAAATTTGTCAAGTGTTACAAACAGAAATGAATTTGTAATGCAGAACAACTCTGTGAAGAACTGAGAAATCATTTTTGCAGTACTAAACAAAATTAAAAGACAAAAAATTGAAAATGGGGTATAATTTGTATAAAAAATTTCAAATCTTCCGTTATAATATGCGACAGTATGTTCTTTGCTGATACAAAAAAAATGATTCCATCCATTTATCATAAAAATTGAGTTAGATACAGCATTTTTAAACACAATGCTTAAATTTGTTTAGGCGCACTAACAGAAACGGACATTTAAACGCAGCGTACCAACGGGCATTTAAATAAACTCCGGCCAGCTCAAGCTTACCACTATTTCAGAAGCCCGGCATTTAAAGGTTAAGAGAAGAGCTTCCATGCTGTTGTAAAAGAACAAGTAGGGGGATATTTTTCATACTTACATGGCCTCGGGGGGGGGGCACACCGTAGCGTAGTTGGTTGAGGCACTGTGCTACCAGCAGGAAGGTCACGGGTTCAATTTCTGAGGAGGTCATTGTTTTTTATTTTCAGTTGACCCAGTCCTTCCAGGTGACTCAGCCTCTAACACAAATGAGTACCAGGAATTAATTAAATAATTTTACTGGGGAATAAAGTGCGGCTGGTGCGTAAGGCTGACAAGCTTACCGTCATTTTTTGAGCTGATTGTCTCAATCATGTGGGACCCTCACCGTCTCACAAACCTATGGGTCATCACGGCCTGTTACAGGGATAGCTTCACTTCACTTTTACATGGGCTCATAATTGGATTAGCTTTCTTTGCATGTTTACTAAATTTGAATTTGCTTTGTGACACTTACTTACTTACTTACTTACTTACTTACTTACTTACTTACTTACTTACTTACTTACTTACTTACTTACTTACTTACTTACTTACTTACTTACTTACTTACTCATGGAGCTGAACCATTCTGGAGGAGCCGCCAATTCTGCAGCTACTCAAGATTTTCCCAGCATTTTATGGAACCCGAAGGTTCATAACCGTGTTCACAGGAGCCCTCCACTGGTCCCTATCCTGAGCCAGATCAATCCAATCCATACCATCCCATCCTATCTCCCTAAGATCCATTTTAATATTGTCCACCCACCTACGCCTTGGTCTTCCCGATGGCCTCTTTCCTTCTGGCTTTCCCACCAATATCCTATATGCATTCCTCGACTCCCCCATTCGTGCTACATGCCCTGCCCATCTCCTCCTCCTTAACTCGATCATTTTAATTATACTTGGAGAAGAGTACAAGTTATGAAGCTCCTCATTATGCAGTTGCTTTGTGAGACTACATATTCTAATATAAGGCAGTGACTGAAGTTAGCTCCATCTGATCGATGTAACAACCTGGTGATCTATAGATCTATAGTGTACCTGACAACGGCCAGAGTGTGAAAACTCATTAAATCCGAGTGATCCCAAGGAATAGTAGAGAATATGCAGGCAACTAAGCTATCGAAACGAAAATCAGTGGTATGAAGTGTAAGCCTCTTGTATAGATGACACTTAATACCTTTGAGACAAGAACTTGTATTGATCCGTGGGACGTCGTAGCTTGAATCTGATGGAATTAGTAATTCGTGGATGTTCATATTCTGTATAACCAGAACTCCACATGACAATATGGTCATTTCGTGTTGACATAAAAAGCATTCATAAAATAATTTGTTTTTACCGTGTTCTACGAATACCAGCGCACTTAGAAAAAAATAATTCAGGAACCAAGGATCAGCCTATTTTCACAAAACTTTCAATTAAGAGTGAACATATTTTTCAAAAATATGCATGTTACTTCTCACACAAGAAGTTTTAAAATGATTCATGTTTGATGTTTATGGTTGTAATACAAATAATTTCAGGTAGCAGCCTCACATGGTCAGTCAAACACTCAACAATATAAGATCTAACGTTGGTATACTGCTACAAGTAGTATACAGTATTTCTGGACATTATCCATCATCTTGTTGAGCTCTGTCTGTTGGACATATTGGACCCAACTGGGTAGGTTGTGTTTTCAAAAAGAAACTAGACGATGGATAATGTCGAAAAATATAATACTTGTGACGAACACTATTTTGATAGCATTGACTTTAGTAGGGCATCGCAGCTCATTTGAGAACCAGTCAATTTATACTACTACTACAGGAATAGCTTTACTTTTTTACTTTTACTTTCAAACTTCATGAAAGGCATTCTATCTGTTAATTGACATCAGTTAGCTGATTGAAATTGACACCTAGTTTGCTTCCAAAATTGTTGAAGTGGGTCCATGTAATAGTCATATTTTGCTCTAAAGTTTCTCTACTTCTGAAGTTAGATCACTGATCTACATGCACATTCCCCAACATAGCCATATCTCCAAGTAATGCTTGGGCCAAGCAGTTAGATTACTTCTGATAACTGAAGTACCAAGAGAATTCATACCAGCAGTAACACATTTATTCAGATTCCTTTATTTAATCAGTATGTGTTAGTAGGCAGTTAAGCTTATGGACCAATAATTGTTGGTAGCTGTTTCTTCTAATGGACCTAACAGAGTATATATGTCTCCATCCACTTTACCTGTGGCTGGAAACAGATCCAGTTTCTGAAACGTGTTCTTCAAGATACTGGATGACGGGCATAGTCCAGGTATCCAGTTATCCTGAGAGCTGTACACCATCATCAGAACCCTCTAGAATCTCATAATATCTTCCCTGTCTGTTACACAGGGTTCCCATCCCACTAGTATTTGGTAGGACAGCAGTGATACAATACAATCAGACTTTTCACCTGATTGTTGAAATTCCTAATGATTATGATTTGCAAGAGAGATAATTTAATGAATATGTTGTGTCAGAATATGCTGTAAGTTTGTGCAGTTGTAAATGGAGTGGTCCAGATTCGGAAGCATCAGGTTTCTCATGATTGAGACTGTGATGTGAAACAAACTGAAATAAATGCTGAAAGACTGAAAGAATATTATATCAGAAATGAAGGTCTTTGAAAAGATAACAGTTTACTTAATATGAATTATTGTCTTTTGTCTAGCAGACCATTTGAATCATACACGCTTGTGTATGGTGTGAGACTTTATATAAGCCTTCTGAAATATGTATATATATTTCTTGTATTTTGAGTAATGAATCTCAGTTTGGTTTCAGGATAGAGGGCTACTATTTTGCTGTTAAACAAGCTCTTCAGCAGCTTGTTACAGAGGATATTTTAGTAATTTGCTGCCTCAGATATGGACATTACAATTTAGAGGCTAGCCATGCCAGTTTCTAACAAAGGAAAAATTGTACTGTAGAGAAGATCGTATCAGATTATTAAATGATGTTGGTCATGTAAAGTCTAAGGTATGCATCATTTTGACAAGTCTTTGCTGCCAGGTATTGTGGATGTGATAAACAAAATATCATTATGTACAGCTGAATCATGTATTGTGATTCTTTTATGTAGGTGGATAAAAGTCAAGAGCAGATATGTTCAAATCACATCAAACTTGGAATGAAGTTGTGTACTGTAGATGTACAGGGTGTTCACGGCTCTGCACTTCACCGCAACCGACATGCCACCGGCTGCAAAGCGCACTCAAATTTTGCCGATGACTCAGCTTGCTGATATCATTTTGAATGAAGGGAATTTCTTACCTTTGTTCACCGATCGCAGGAGGTGTTGCAAATGCTGTCCCTCTACACGTAGACAGAAGACTGGCAGAAGAGGTTCTGATTTACCCTCTGGAGATGCTGTGCAGGAACATTTGAAATTTCCTTATGAATGTTTCCATTCAGTTCTTCTGTTCGAGGGTAACTGCTATAAACTTTGTCCTTCAAATGACCCCAGAAGAAAAAATGAGATTGATTAAGATCAGGCGACTGTGCTGGCCAAATATCAGTGCTGATAGTTCTGTCCCCGTAAACATCAGACAGAGCCTGCATAGATGTGTTCTTAGTGTGTGCGGTAGCTGAGTCTTGCCATAGATTCTGTCTTCTTCTGTTAACTCTGAAAAGAACTGGCCAAGAATATCTCTCATAATTAATTGTTTCGTTAAAAGTCACAGTTTCAGCAATCCTCCTTGCACTTATAGCACACAAGACACCATCTCTAACTGTGTGGAGCGAGGCCTCATGGGTTAGATGTGGATCCTGTGAACTCCAGTAGCGATTATTTTGCATATTTATGTATCCCTGCAAGTGAAACCTTGCTTCATTAGAGAGACATGTAAACTGTGGATCAGTCTCGCCTTCAGCGACAGACTGTGGAAACCAACTGCAAAAATGAACCCTGCTAGCTGAATCACGTGGCTGCAAGTTGTGGATTGCTGTTGTTTTATAAGGTGTAAGCTTCAATGCACTAGACTTTGATACTCCTATCTCTTGAGCTGGATGTTTCAGTGTATGTTCAAGTTTGGCCCCTGTGTCCAAACTTCTCCTCAGTAAGCACTCGAAGCTTATGTTTTGTTTCCTTGTCTATTAAGAGTCCTGTTGCTCTAAGTTTGTTCTCCAAATTATGAATTGTTTGTCTGCTGGGAACTCTTTCATCACAAAATTTTCACCGACATTTTCCAGCAGATCTGTATTTCACGTAGGTGTCATGTAGAAATACGCATGCCACACTGCTGGCTGACTGACTGTTAACTGGGAGCAAATGGCTCATGGCACAGATGACTACTGTCAGCTGCTCACAAATCACAAACACACTCCCATAAATGAACTGCACTGCCTGCCATGTAACATAATACTGTGTAGAGGTCTGCAAGTTAATTTCATTAAGTTCATTAAGTTAAGTTCATTCCAAACGTTTTCTGCCATCAAGCATGCTGACATATCGGCGGAAATCACATTTGTTTACAACCGGATATGCACTGGCAGCGGTGAGGTGCAGAGCTGTGAATGTTTCTAGTTACTAAAAATATTCTCTGTACATGCAAATCAGTATATCCAGCATGTCCAATGACCGCTATACTTCCTGCCCCTTTACGTGTGTTTGGAATTTGAAAATCATTGGCATAGCTTTTTTATATTTGTCAGAATTGATGGGTTCAGGTTTAGATGCTGGCAGATGAGACTCATAAATTCACTATTTGAGTGCATTTACTACTGCTCAACTGGGGGCCAGTGGCCATAAAATAAGACACTGAACCTACCTTGGGTCCTGAACATATATACCAGTTAAATTGTGAGTGGTTCTTTGTTGTTGGAGTGGAATCAGATGAGCCGCTTATACCAACTGCTCATGATAGAAGAGTACGGAGCATTGGCAGAATGATAATTGATAAGGGAAAATTGGTCAGAGAAGACCTACTCCAGTAGGTTGTAAATAAAAATAAAGTATTTGTTTCCCCACACTAAGAGATAAAAATGCTGCTCATCTGTCTAGAATGACAGAGAATATTGATTTTTGGTAACAGATTTGATTATAGGTGGCAGGAGTGCAGACTTCTGTTCTTGTAGTGATTCCAGTGAGATTGGCCACAAGCCAAGTACATAACCATTCCTTCTCTTGTGAATAGGTGGAGTAGTTGTACATTGGTGTCACAGCAGATTGCTAATGAGAATGTTTTCAGACTGTGATGTTTACATGCCATTATTCTGTGCGGAGACCTCTGTACTTTCAGGGTCATGCAGAGAGGTGAGTTGATGTGAATGTCAGTAGCTAAAGCACCAGGTTGTATGTTGTTGTAAACTGTAACTATATTATTGTTGAGAAGGTGAAGTGTTTTATGATCTGCTTCATCTGAGAACATTAAGTGTGATAGCCTAGTAAATACTGCAAAGCATAATAGTTATTTAACTGGTCAAAAAAATGCCCTGCCTTTCATGGAACCCTAAGATTTATTACTGCGCTCATTGATCCTTCTCATGAGCCAGAGCCAGATGAATCCAGTTTAATATTATCTTCCCATTCATGCTTTGGGGTCCCACGACCTCATCTCTACTTCCTCTGACAAGAATAATGTATGCATAGCGATAGCCTATGGGCTGAACAGCCAGGATTTGATTCACAGTAGGAGCAAAATATTTTTCAATACTGTGCAGCATCCAGACTGGCTCGGGGGCTCAGACAGCCTCTTAATCCAATGGGTACCAGGGGCACTTTCCAAAGAGGAAGGCAATTGGGGGGTGAAACTA